TCGGAGCTCGCGGGCATCTCTGCTGTCCCTGGGATGTGGAGGGCGTCGCTGACATTCATGGCAATGGTGTCCCCAGCGTGCCAGGGAAGAGTACAGCGGAAGAGCAGATTGCAGAGGCCAGAGACCAAGGCCAGGACGCAGCAAACTGGGGTAGAGGAAGAGATGCGGCGAGTGAGAGACGGTGAGGAAGCCCTTCCGTGGCCCCCTCACCCCAAGTTCAGCCTGAACCCTGCATGCCACTGCAGAAGGGGAGACACTTCAAGGTTGTATCAATAATGTAGAAAAACAGGCTTTTAGACAGAAGCAGTAAAATCACGTCATTTTAGGAATGAGATCACTGAAAAGGAAACATTTGAGCATCAACAGAAGAGGCTGGGGAAAGCAAGAAACTGTTCAGCTGAAAAATTGCTCCCCAAAAGGTATCCATGTCCTAAGCATTGGGACCTATGTGTTGCATTTTGTGGCAAGAAAATGGTCTTTGCAGGTGTGCTTTCAGCTAAGGATTGTGAATTGGAGGTGTCATCCTGGATTTTCTGATGGGCCCTAAATGCAGTCACTGGTATCCCTAAAGAGGGGGCAGAGGAGACCGCCTCACACAGAAGGGCATGTGAAGATGAAATGGAGGGGCTTGAAGGGGGCACCTTGCAGCTTGTGGCCACAAGCAAAGGTCCCCAGCAGCCAGCAGAACTGGAAGGAGTGAGGAGGGGACCCTGCCCGTGAGCCCAGCCTTGCCAACACCTTGGTTTCAGTTCAGGGCAAGTTTTTGGACTTTTGGTCTCCAGAACGGTGAGAGAATTTCTGCCAATTTAAACCAGCACGTTTGTGGTGACCTGTCAGAGCCACAGGGAGCTAGTGCAAACACCGCTGTTTGCGTCGCATCGCGTCGCGTCCATGCGGGCCGTGTTCCTGGCGGGCTTCTCGCTCCCTCTGGAGGCGCCTCTTCGGGATGCACCCCAGCAGGAAAGCAGAACCCCTTCCACGGTGTCGGTTGTTGAGGGGCCCACACTTGTAGCAGCCCGCCACCCGGCTCAGTGGCAGATAAGATAGAATCTAAAGTGCATCTCTGCGGATATATTGTTCAGTGTACTGAAAACTTGGCTATATATACTTCCATCAGGTAACAGTTCACATCCTGAAGAATTTTAGAGACAGAGACTTCGTTTGCCTTTTAAATAGAGAATTTCTTCAGTACCAAACTGATGGTGTCCATTCCTATCCTTGAAAACTCGAGATGACGCTGAGTGTCAGAGAAGAGGTCACCCTCCCATGACTGCGCCCTTCAGAGCAGGGGACACTGCCTGCCCGCAAGCTGTGAAGAGCCTTGGAGAGAAGCTGGCCCAAGACCCTGCTGGAACTGAGCCGCCAAGTTCAGGTCACCTTTCCGGCAGGAGAGACTTCTCATGCCTGCAGTAAAATTTCTAAGCTTGGCCACAGGGGGGCAGCAGAGACCACGCTTCTGTCAAACTCCTCCTTAGGAGCCGCTTCCATTTGGGGCTTGCGGTAAGGCAGGTGAATGCCCCCCACTCACAGATCAGCATTTCCGTGACTGTGCGTCAGACTCAGTGGGCCTGCCACTTCAGAATCCCAGTTCCTGAGTCCCGTCATGAGAGATCCCAATTTCTGTGTCTGAGGAACTTTCAGTCTGCATTTTCAAGAATATTGGTTTTTGACAAGGTGCGCAAGAGGTGAGATTTAAGGAATACTAGAATACCAGACCACCTGACCTGCCTCTTGAGAAACCTGTATGCAGGTCAGGAAGCAACAGTTAGAACTGGACTTGGAACAACAGACTGGTTCCAAATAGGAAAAGGAGTACNAGCTGAAACTCCAGTTCTTTGGCCATCTCATGCGAAGGGTTAACTCATTGGAAAAGACCCTGATGCTGGGAGGGATTGGGGGGCAGGAGGAGAAGGGGGCGACAGAGGATGAGATGGCTGGATGGAATCACTGACTCGATGGGCATGAGTTTGAGTAATTTCTGGGAGTTGATGATGGACAGGGAGGCCTGGCGTGCTGCGATTCATGGGGTCGCAAAGAGTCGGACACGACTGAGCGACTGAACTGAGCTGAAGCTAGTGCTAACAAGCAAAGTGAAACGCTTCTCTTCAGAATTGTCAGAAGAGAGAAACAGAGGAATATAATGAAATATTTTGAAGTAGAGCCTCCTGTAACCCACCTGAGAACTCTCTGGTCTTACAGTCCCTGTAGTTTCAGGAATAGATATGCCTCTGTCCCTGTTAAAGTGACAACCACATTTATTATTTAAATTTATCTGCCTCCTTCACTTGTTGCAAGCCAGGGTAATCCATTGACAAGGTTTGATTTTCTTTTTGGAGACAACTTTCTCACTCTTGGGGTTTGCTTGTCATTTAAAGACAGCGTTGTATATCAGCATGAATAGGAGGGAAAAGTGTTTTACTTCAGTCACATGTCAGCGTGGTGAAGGGTATGTGGAGAGGTCATTATATTATTCCATCTATGCCCATCTGTGCTTCTAATTCTTCATTCTAATGTTGTTGTGAATCTGATGAGGGGGAAACCCCTGATGGTGGTGAGGGGCTGGCTGCCTCATCGCTCGCTCTTGCAGGTGTGACGCGCAAGGGACAAGAACCTTTGCTCTCTGAGGTTCGGAGCCTCCTTTCTCCTGCCGTCTCGCCTGGCTGGCTTTTCCTGGCTCCTCTCCCAGGAGCTGGGAAAGTGTGGCCGCTCTCTCAACAGCAGGAAGTAGAAACGGTGCCTATTTTTTTTGAAGGCATGATTCGGTTCAGTACTTGGAAGATTTCGTCTTCACACAGTGTGAGTTGTTTCTGGAATCTGTAAATTTGGCTTCCAGACCATTGTGCTGTGCTTGGGTATGCAGTGGCAGCATCTTCCAGACAGAATCTCACACACGTGAAAGCCTAAGTGTGCAGGAAAAAGTACATCAGATAAAATGAGGAAGCATCAAAAATGTGATGCTATCCTATGTAGGGGCTGTGTCATGATGCCAAAGAGTGTTCTAAGCAAGAATCCTGGTTTCATCAATTTAGGCATACAAAATGGCATTTTTACATACATATTGAGTCTATTAAATTTCCAATTATTTCAAGAAGTCTTTGTATTTTAATATCTTAAAATTACAAAAAAAAAAAAAAAACCAAACCACCCCAGTGCCTCGCTGAGCACTGCCACTTTGCTGCAGTTTCTCAGCAGGGCCCTTGCCTGCTGCTGTGATAATGGAAGTGGTGCCCGACCTAGAAATGCCAGAGAAAGGCTAGATGACGTCTTCCCAGTTGTTTGAAGGTGAGTCTGCTATTAACCAACAGCAAGTATATGTTTCATGAGACTGAAATTCATTGAGAAAATATTCTAAAAAAAAGAAATAGTCTATTTTTTAAATGGCTGTAAAAGTCTACATCTTTTCTTGTGCATTCAACTCAAAAAAAGATAGGACACAGTAAATGTACCTGGAAAATATTTTAAGGTCCAAGCTTCTTCCTTTAGGGTCTGTGAGTGTCTCACTGAGAGATTTGGAGCAAGCTCCTAGAAGCCCTCTGAAGCTCCATTTTCTCACTCACTAAAGTGGTCTTACCAGATCATTTGTCCCTCCCTACTACGAAGGAGGCTTTGATCCAGAAGTATTTAGAGCAGGTATAATTGTGACATTAATAAATAATAAGTGGCACTTTACAGTTTATTTCCAAGCTAAAAGCAGTTGGAAGGTTCTGAGGTTTAGTTCTAAAAATCTTAGGTAAGAGTTGCTGGCAAAGCACTATATTTTAAAATTATATTTGAAGCAAAATGGGAAGATAGTCTTCAGGCTGATTTAGTAGTTAAATTCCAGCATCTGTACTGTAGCTGTACATCATTTTTCATGACTTTCTGCTAGAACTGAGGCATTAGAAGGAGCACTGGCTTTTGTAGACGTTAGGTTCGATTTTTAAAGAAAACATCACATTTCAGGATCCCCTTCACTTTTCTCCTGAGAGAACACGATATTTGAAAAGTAAGCTAGAGGAATAAGTGAAACATTTGGTTAGCATGTGTTTGATCCAGGCTTCTGTTTTAGGTTCAGAAAATTCAGTTGGTTATTTTCCCAGTTTGATTTTCTCAAAATCCAGTTTTTTAAAATTTCCCTAGAAGATTGATGGTGATAATAAATCATGATTAAAAAGAAATTGAAGCCCCCTTTTAGCTGTAGAACTCATATCCATGTATCTTCTTGGAGTGTTTTTCCTGTATTTTGTGTTAAATATGGGAAATGAAAGTTTAAATTTCTAATGCACAAGTTAGACATGAATTGGAACTCATACTCTAGTATGAATGAATTACCAATTCATATTGATAACCAATGTCAGTGGCCAAGTGGAATTATGAATTCCAGCTCTCTTGGTTATGGAGGTCTTCTTACTAAACATGCGGTGGTGGTGGTGAGTTAGTCACTAAGTCGTGTCTGACTCTTGGAACCGCATGGACTGTAGCCCGCCAGGCTCCTCTGTCCATGGGATTCTCCAGGCAAGAATACTGGAGTAGGTTGCCACTTCCTTCTCCATACTGAACGTGTAAGACGGTATTAAAAGGCTTGAACAGTGATTAGTGGTTCTTGAACACATGATTTTCTAGATTGCTTTTCACCTATCTTCCCCATCAACTCCTGAAATTTAGTTGTAATCTAATTGTAAACTTGATCAACTGACCAAGACCACTGTTACAGGACATTTATTTTCAGTCCAGTGCCCAGACTTACAAGCTGTTTATCCTTCTTTTGTTGTTCATTATACAAATTCTACTTTTTAATGTGGTGTCCCGAAAGCATAATCTTGATTCACAGTATCTCCTGTGTTTTTAAATGTTCTCCAGATGATAGAATTGACTGTGTAGGGAAGCCAAAGTTTTTATACAATTTCTCTTAGAGAAATAAAATTCTTTATCCTAGATCCAATGTCCACTTTTCACAAGATGATTGCTGAGAAGGTTATAGGCGGTGTCTCTGTTAAAAAGCATTGCTTTCTGTTAACTAGAAATGTGCAAGCAAGCCAGCGTGCCATTGCCTTAATTGCAGAAATGATCCACACTGCCAGTCTGGTCCATGACGATGTCATTGATGATGCAAGCTCCCGGAGAGGAAAACACACCGTTAATAAGATCTGGGGTGAAAAGAAGGTATGTGCAACTTTTGGGGTTTTTTCATCTTTCATATTAAATGCCACACTCTTTGGATTGCATTTATTTTTCAGATTTGTCTCAAATGTTGAAAATATGTTTCATCAAATGTGGTCTTCTAGCTTTCAAAATAGTTCCTTGTATATAGTTTTCATCTATATACAGATGTTTGATTGTAGATAACACCATAGAAAGATAAACTTACTATTTCTGTTTAATCACAGTTGTACATAGAATTTGGTTAAGGAAAGCATATTTGTAGTTATCCAAAAAGTGTCTCTTATGAGGAATCACACCTTTTACTCCAGGGCTTAGACTACTCAAATTCACCTGAATTACTTAACCACCACAGGTGAGAGTGTCAGGGCAAGTAAATAAAACAAAAAAAAGTATAAATACACAAGCGTGCGCATGCGCGCGCACACACACACATTCCCTCTCTATTCCTTCCCGTCCCTCACATGTCTGTAGTACCTGGTTCCCACCTGTTTGCTAATCGTATTCAGAGAAGAAATAATACCTTAATTACCATGTTTACATGCTGGTTTTGCTTTAGTATACACAATTCTGTTGTATAATCAAGCCCTGCAGTTTTCAATTGTAAGCCTCTTATCGCCAATTGTAGAGGAAAAGGTTTTGTGTCCTCTGACATGGCTTGCAGTTTGCTGGGTCCGTTTTCAGGGCCTGCTCTAAAGCCATTAATACTTGCGCGCTTGGGCAGTGGAGGCTGAAGTGGACAAGTCGACGTTTTCTCCTGACTGGCCCCCTCTCGTGAGTGCCTCTGCTGTTGGGGGCCTCACTGCCTCTTTCAGCTGCGGGGCTGGTCCGCCCTGCCCGGGGCCACCTGCGAGTCTGCCCCTCAGACAAGTCTGCTGTGTTGCCAGGAAAGATCCATTCACACAATACCTCCACCATGGGCCCTGCTTTCCTTCCACCCCTCATCCCAGCCATCACCAGCCTGGCAGCTTCACTTCCCTTTTGGCCTCAGGGATCCCGGGGGCCGAGAGAGGAGAGAGGCAGAAGCTCGGAGATCCTGAGCCTTCAGCGTCTCGTGCCATAGGGCGGAGGTGGATGTGTGTGCCTCTAAGTCATGATGCGTACAGTGACTCCATCAGTGTGTGTTTACAGTTACGTCAGGATACCTCGTACAGTGTATGTTGTATAAAATGATGTTTAGTTGGTAAACACACTGAGCATCACTAATTTTTAAATGCTGGAGAACTAATAGACAGTAAAAGCTTGGGACTTCTCTGGTGATCCAGCAGTCAAGACTCCAAGCTTCCACTACAGGGGCCATGGGTTCAATCCCTAGTTGAGGAACTTAGGTCCCACATGCTGTGTGGAATAAAGACTTAAAATGTAGTTATGTTGCATATTCTAGGGATTAAAATTTCCATGAACTCTTTCATTTATAACTACTCTTTAACACTTATGCATATCTTTAAGTATGCAAATTAGTATACTTGATTATAGCATATAATTCAATCATGATTTATAATTAGCTGCAAATACAGTGCAAACATTTAACTCATCATCTAAAGAAAATTGAAAAAATATTGATGCATGTTCAGTGAAAAAAATATTTTGTTCTGGAATGAGAGGCAGTGTAATAGTGTCCTAAGAGCTTGGAACTTAGAGCCAAGCTTCCTTGGTTTAGTTTTCATTGAGCAAAGTGTGCGTGAGGCCACGGTGTGTGCCAAGTACTAGCTGGGTGATTCACAGTCTGTGCCCTTAGGGGTTCGGCAAATAGGAAAAAAGTGGGAAGACAGCAGTACCCAAGGGGCGCTGTGCTCACAGGTCAGACTGGGGGGTCTCAGTGGACCTAGTGCAGAGGCGCAGCCACATGATTTGAGGGGAGAACAAATGGCCCAGAACTAAATGAAGGTGGTGGGATGCATTTTGCTGCAGCCAAGGATGAAACCAGGGGGTCAGGCACTTCCCATCTCCAGGCGTTCATTTCTTCAGCTCTCAACTGAAGAGACAGACTGGGTAATCTCTGAGAGCCCAGAGATTCCAAACAGGGTCCCAAATGTGTAAAATAATCCCACCGAGGAAGAGGAAAAACAGAGACCCAGGATGAACCCTCCCTGCTCCCATCCCAGACTTCTCTCCTGAGAAACTTCACTGTTGGCTCCAGTGCTCAGACACTTTTCGCTAAAGGTTTTTCTTCTTTTCTAGGCTGTCCTTGCTGGCGACTTAATTCTTTCTGCAGCCTCAATAGCTCTGGCACGAATTGGAAATACAACTGTTATATCTATTTTAACCCAAGTGATTGAAGATTTGGTGCGTGGTAGGTTAATTCCGACTTTTCTTCTTTATTCATTCTTAGTATTTTACCAGCAACACCGCCGCGCGCCCCCCCCCCCGCCAAAAAAAATTTCCAAAACCCTCACCTGACCCCTTTTCTTCTTTGTAGGTGAATTTCTTCAGCTCGGGTCAAAAGAAAATGAAAATGAAAGATTTGCACACTACCTTGAAAAGACTTTCAAGAAGACTGCAAGTCTGATCGCCAACAGTTGTAAAGCAGTATGTACGTTCTGTTTCTTTTCAAGTTAAAAAAAAAAAAAAGCCTCCTAGCTCTTTCTTGGGAGCTAATTCTCGTAGAAAAAGTTGCACTGGAGAATCTTAAAATAGTGACCAAAATCCCAAGAGTAACTGAGAAAAGAATTGCATCCCCAGACAGCAGAGAGAACTTCTGCTATGATTTTCATTTTTGCTGTTTAGGCATCAACTTTCCTTATAGGAGTCAAATCAAAACAAGCTTTCTAATATATTCCCCAATCTAATTTCCAAATGGGTGCAACATTTTGAACAACGAATCATAAATGGACTCCCTCACGGTTACCACACAGTTTTGTATGATTGACATGTAAAACGTGTGAAAGTGCTATGCTGTGTCCTTAAATGTTGACCTGGGTGGAAGTATCCAACTAACAGATTGTACCAGTGTTCTAAGCCCTCTTCTATGAGTAGTAAATCCCTCCCAGTTATGGGGAATATGAAAAAGCCCTTCTACTTCCCAGTATAAGCTGAGCATGAACTTTTCTGTACCTCTTGCTTTCTCTGTGGCCTTCCCTCCACTCTTCACATAGTTTCCTTTTTTAAAAATCAATGTTGTCTTTAATCATTCAGGGCTAGCCCATGAATGACAGACAGTTCCCTGCCTGGAATTATTCATCTGACCGTCTTTCAGCCTCGCAGATACACAGGATGAAAACTGGGCCAAGTGAGAGTCCCTGTGATTAAAGAAACAAGAAGGGGAGACTCCTAAGGGGCAAGTGTCAGTTGCTGCCACGATACACCCTTAACATAATTACAGTTGAAGAGAGCTTCTTCTCAGGTGAAAAAGCCCCTTGCCAGTAATGTCTCTGTTTGGAAAAGTGTCAAGAAATGTGTCGTAATTGAGCCAAAAAAGAATGAGGACAACATTTCTTCCTAAAAAGACCCAATTGAAACCCAAAGGAATGTGAATTATGTAGAACATGATGGCCACAATCTCAGCCATTTTTGTCTTTTTATTGAAAGAGCATTTTTTTTTCTTAATTTCCCAGAAATTGTGAGTGTGGTTTTCTAAAAAAAGAGAGATAAAAATAGAATAGGCCCGAGAATGCTAAATTAAAAAAAACAAAGATTTAAAATGGTGGCCTTCAACCTTAATTAATCTTAAGAACATTGATGTCATTGCTCATCATACCCTTGATGGCCAGCGTCTCCGTGGAGCTGGAGACCCAGCCTCGCTAGTGTGTGAGGTGACAGCGAAATCTTCCCAGGCCCGAGGCTGCAGAGAGGAGCACAGCCGTCAGCGGGGCGGTTGGATCTGAAACACTGCGGGCCATTGTCCACAGTGGACATTCCACAGGGCGGCAGAGCTTGCCGCCCCGGAGCCTGGACGGGGGCTCATGCTCTCGGCGAGCCGTGTCATCGGGGAGAGGCTGCCTTCGCTGTCCTCTGCTTAGGAAGCCAAAGACAGGGTCGCGCGTGTATTCATAAAGAGGACCTTGTCCCTCGCAGGTAGGAAGCACAAGTGGACCTGCATGTTAACAGGGCTCGACCCTCATTAAACATGAAATGTCTCAGGCTCTCCACTAGGGGGCAGGCTGACATCAGCCCTGAACTGCCCACTTTGCTTGTGATTTATTCCTGAGCTCCAGAGCTGTTAGAATAATAAAGCAGAATGCTAGTGTGAGCTCCCTGAATAAAAGTTTCTATATATAAGTGCCTATGGGGAGAGATGTTCCAGAGGTGTTATATATTCAAACCTGCTATTTTTATGTGATTTTGGAATTTAAAACGCAGACACATGGCCTCTGAACACATGCAAAGCAAATTAGAGACACCAAAAAGAAGGGGTGAGAATTTAAACATCAGAATTGTTAGAGAAGAGCTGGTGGGATTCAGGATGTCATGGGAATTTGAAGGAAACCTCTCAGCTTACAATTCATTGTCCTGAGGACTGTTTAATGAAAACTGGTATTAAATCTAAGAGAGGGCTGTTCAGGATTGTTTTGGGACACTGATTGATGTTAAAATAGAAGTAATCTTAAAAGGTGATTGGCTGTTTGTTTCTGTACGTAGTCATGAAAATACATTGTGTAGTTTACCAGTGAACACTGCCTTGTTCCCCAGAAAACCTCACAGGAATGAGACCAGAGGGATCTGGTGGCCCATCCAGTGTTTTTCAATCAGACAGTAGCTGAGCAGAGATTTGAACCCAGAACTGGGTATGATAACCCTGCAGATTCATGTATTCATTCATTTTCTCGTGTTTTTTTTCCCCCTGAATTTTCTGTTCTCTCGAGTGCTGCATGTGGCCTGGAATCAGTGGACTGTCTTCCTGGTGCCTTATTGTCAAAGCTACGGAGGGCCGCCCCAGAACCTTGGTTTGTGGGTCATAGCTGTAGAACGCCTATTTTTTTTTTATTATGGTATTCTTATCTAATCTACACATAGTCCTTATTCAAATTTTAATAGTTCTCATAATATTGTTAGAACAAATAGGAACGTTGTTTTCTGGCCCAGGATCTAGTCTAGGATCTCATGTTGCATTTAGTTGTCAAGAATCTTTTTTTTTTTTTTAATTTGAAATATAGTTGTATTTTTAGGCATATAGCAAAGTGATTCAGTGATATATAGATAGATAGATATAAGATTATTTCCACTATAGGTTATTATAAGGTATTGAATATAATTATCTGTGCTATATAGTAAACCCTTGTTGTTTATCTGTTTTACTTATAGTAGTTTCTGTCTGTTAATCCCATATTCCTAATTTATCCCTGCACCCTATGGTAAACATAAGTTTTTTTGCTGTGACTCTCTGGTTTGTATTCAATAATTCTTATTATATTTTAGATTTCACATATAAGTGATATCATATTTGTCATTCTCTGACTTACTTCACTTAGTATAGTATTCTCAAGTTCCATCCATATTGCTGCAAGTAGCAGTATTTTATTCCTTTTTGTTACTGAGTAATAGTCCATTGTGTGTGTGTGAACACACACATACACATCTTCTTAAACCAGCTGTCTGTTGCTGGGCACTTGGGTTGCTTCCGTGTCTGGGCTTTGTACGGCTGCTGCCATGCACACAGGGGGGTGTGTGTGTGGCACAGACGTGGCGCTGGGCTGCGGTGCTTGGGCTGGGGCCTGGGACCTGGGCTGCCTCTGTGGCCGGCCTGTCCCACGACCTGTTGGCCCAGATCCAGCTCCAAGTGGGGGTGTGGGGCGGGCAAACCAGGGCTGTCGGCTGGGAATGAACGGCTGTGTGCTCCTTCCCAGGGGCTGTCTGCCTGAGTCCCATGGTCAGCATGGTTGCCTGTTTTCCCACAGCCACGCTAACCAAATGTAGCCTTAGACTCAGTGTTTGACAGCCTGATAGATGAGACATGGTGTTACAATGGAGTTCCAACTTACATTTCTCTTTTCTCAGTGAACTAGAACTCCTTTTAGGATGCTGAAGGTCTGTTTTCAGTTCTTTAGTTTTTGTGAATTGTATATTCATCATGTCTTTTTCCCATTTTCTTGACGGGTGGTTGGTCTTTTTTCCCTTCTCAGTTTTAAAGAGTTCTTTATATATGAAGAATATTAACTCTTTATCTGTGATTTTATGTTGAAACAGTTTTCTCCCAGTGTTTTCCATTGGTTTCTGACGATCACCTGTTTTGGTATTTTTTTAATATAATGGTGGAGCTCCAATAATCTCCATTATTTTTATTTTTTAAAATTTTTTTTCAATAATTTCCATTATTTTTAATAAATAAGACCACAGTACGTATATTAACTCTCATAGTGATGTAAACACACCCTTTAAAGACAGAGATGCAATCGCTTCTCGGCCTTTTGGCTGAGATCAAGTGTAAAGACAGAGATGCTCGATAGATGTCAAGGGCTGTGCCCCTGTCAATGTGATCTTTCTGATGGTTTTGAGGAAAGGCGCAGATGAGTCTCCTGAGAGGTGTGGGTCTTACCCCCACCCTCGACTCGTGCGCCCCATGGCCTGGCTGCGAACCTGCTTCAAACAGAACGGTTAGCTAAGCTCTGCTTTCTCCTACCCTCTCTCCCCTCCACCCTCCTCCAGGAATCAGATTGGGGGCGTCTCTGAGGCTGAGGACGAGAAGCGTGCTTGTCAGCGTACCTCCTTTCTTTCTGTTCTGCCTTGTGGCGCTTCTGACTTGCCTGGTTCAGACAGTCCTCGCGGGGCAGGGGGAGCAGGACTGTGCCCTGGGGAGGGGTGCTCTTCACGTTGTAGTGGGGAAATCTGAGCAGGAACATCCCTTTACTGCCTGGCTTTGGGGGGGGCGGCGAGGCGGACTCGGGGCTTTCTGCCTCCTGAGCGCCGTGACTGGCCTCTCTGAGCCTCGACTTTGAGGCCCATTAAAGGCAGCGGATCCACGTGATAGGGACCAGTCTCTGGGGCAGACCGCCCGGATTCGGTCCCGATTTCGCCATCTCCTCATCCTGCGATGCCTGGTCCCCGCTGTGTCTCAGCGCCGACCTCCGCAGTGACTGGCAACGTGAGAAACCTCAGGCTAGCGCCCAGCACACAGAGTGCTCAGTGGTTGTTAGCTTTACCCTCGTCAACCACAGAAGAGGTATTTATAGGCTGTCGTGAGATCTAAGGTAATGCACAGTGCTTATTGTATGTACTCCATACATTTTAACCCATTGAGTTTAGAAATAGAATGGCGTTTTTAAAGATCTTCGACTTCTCAGGAAGGAAGTCTGTATTTCTGTGCTGCTTTGTGCATAGGAAATAGCATCACCCTCTGCAGAACTGCTTTACGAGTTATTTCTGTCTAGAAAGGGGATGTCTTTGTTTTCTGGGCTCAGCATGTCCCAGGCTGCCCGAGCCTGGCTGCGCACTCATTCTCTCAGCCAGGTTGATGCATCTCTTGACTTCTTTCAGAATCTCTGCACCGTCTCCCCCGGGGGCCTCCCGGATCCCTCCCTGCAGCCCGCCGTGGGCCAGTGCCTGCCGGTGGTCAGGTCTTTGCTGTTGAGAGCAGTTGAGTTTATCATTCACTCAAGTAAGCCGCCGCCTGGCTTTTTACCACGTGTGCATTTTTATCAAGAACATGTAGCCAAACATGACCCGGGCACAGGCTTCACTCAGTCCCTGGAAACCTGCTCAGGGCTGAGCAGGTTATGTGTTCTGGCTGCGGCAGCAGGCCGGGACACTCCCCGGCTCCTGTTGGCACAGCAGTGGAGGCGGGCTGGTCACAGCCTCGGCAGACGCTCGGGGTCACAGCTAGACGCCCGCGCGGTGCGGAGGGCGTGGGTGGCATCACGTGTCCTCCTTCCAGCCTGTGCTGTAGGTGCTTGTGAGCCTTGGGTTTACAGACGAGGAAACTGACGCGCAGACAGACAGGATCACGAAGGTCACGTGGTAGCCGAGGGGCAGAAGCCAGCCCCCCGGGCTCACTGTGGCGCCCACCTGCCGCGTCCCCTGCGGCCGACAAAGGTGAGGGCTGAGGTCAGACAGGAGGCCCAGAAGAGCTCTGTCTGGCTCTCGGGGCCAGTCCACGCCCTCTCTCCCCTAGAGGAGTGTTCTCCCTGACCCCAGCCCACCCCCGTCTCTGAAGTGTGGCCGGGCCTGCTTTGCATGCTTAGCAGAGTGGCGGGAAAAGTGCGGAGTGGCCAGTGCCAGCTGGGTTTTTCAAGTTTTACAGAAGACTTAGAAGTCCTGTTCCCTCACTGAACAGGGGAAAAACCTTTTATACAGTTACATGACTTCTTGTGAGAGAAACATGGAAACAGTAGGATCAGGGACTGTCCTTAGGTAACGGAAGAACCATACCTGTGTCTGAACCATGAGGCTTGAAGCTGTTACAGACACCAAGAAAAAACAGCTTTTCAGAATCAAGTGAAATCACCAAAAATGATTATAAGGACTACAAATGGGAAAATGAACGATGGCCACATCCTGTATATGATTAGATCAGATCCGATCTCTACCCCTAAAATAAGGGTAAGTCAGTAGAGAAATAAAAATAATGCCAACAGTTGGGCAGGTTTGCCAGGCGCTGGAAGACAGCATTTCAGATACTGTAGTCTGTTTGGTTTGCACATCAGAAAGGCTGACGAGCAGAACTGGTCTTTTTTTGTTTTTCTTTTGGAAGTTGCTCAGTCGTATCTGACTCTTTGCAACCCCATGGACTGTCCATGGAATTCTCCAGGCCAGAATACTGGAGCGGGTAGCCTTTCCCTTCTCCAGGGGTTCTTCCCAACCCAGGGATTGAACCCAGGTCTCCCGCATTGCAGAACTGGTCTAGTCCTATCTCATTTTCCCCTAAGTGGTGGGAAAGATGGCCTGTCTAGTGAAAGGAGCCGGGAAAGGCGAGTTTTCTTGAAATTTAAGAAAATAGTCTGAGACCGAAGTCCTTTGTTCCACAGGTCAGACACACAGGTGCTCTGTCTGTGACTGGTCTGAGAGCAGTCTCCTGGCGGCACAACCAGCCTCACGGCCCTTTTCTAAGGAGGAGGAGGTGTGAATCCCCTCCCTGTGGGGACCAGTGTCCCCGCCACGCTGCCTCTGCCCTCCAGCAGCTTACCTCGGGATCCTCTATTTCAGGTCTCTGTCCTGGGATGCCCTGACCCAGTGGTGCATGAGATTGCCTATCAGTACGGGAAGAACGTGGGCATCGCTTTTCAGGTTAGTCTGCTGCTCTGGAAGGATGCGGTCCAGCGGGCAGGGCGGGGGTGGACACTGGTGCGGCGGGGCTGTGACAGCCCTTTCTTCCTCTTCAGCTGATAGACGATGTCCTGGACTTCACCTCGTGTTCTGACCAGATGGGCAAACCGACCTCGGCCGACCTGAAGCTCGGGTTAGCCACTGGCCCCGTCTTATTTGCTTGTCAGCAGGTAGGTTTTATGCCCTTCCCTAGGACACACTTCTGGGAGGCCCTGTGGGACCGGTACCTGCCGGGCACAGCTGATGGGAAGGTTAGATGAGATTGGGAGCGTTTCTAACAGACCAGAGTTCTAGATGTGATCCCAAGTCCAGGACTGAAGCATCCACGCGTCATTTTTGCCTCTGAAGTCTGTTTCCTTGTCTGTAACATGGAGAAGATCATAAGCTTCCTTCCAGGGCCGCTGTAAATATTACCTGAGATGATATTCTTGGAGATACTGTGTGCATTAAGTGCCGTGTGCATTTAAGGAAGCACTGCGATCATTTCTGTGTCTTGGGCACTGACAGGGTGGGTAATTTCCACATCTCCATTGTAGGGAGACTTTGTGCATCAGAGCCCCTTAAATAGGCACAGGAAGGCCTCCGTCAGGAGTAAC